TTGCTTTTAAACAAAATAGGCCTTGAAATAATGTTTCCTGACCATCCAGTTAGAAAACAAGCCTACCTAGACTGAAAAATAAGGATTTTACTAAGTCGCCCTATGCAGATTTTTTTTAACGGGGTTAACCCATGACTCTCGTCAAAAATTAGAATTTGTTCCTATGCTCCCTTTTAAACAAAATAGGCCTTGAAATAATCTTTGCTGACCATCCAGTTAGAAAACAAGCCTACCTATACTAAAAAATAAGGATTTTACCAAGTCGCGCTATGGAGAATATTTTTAAAAGGGTTGACCCATGATTTTGGTCAAAAATTGGAATTTTCCTCTTTGCTTTCTTTTAAACAAAATAGGCCTTGAAATAATGTTCCCTGACCATCCAGTTAGAAAACAAGCCTACCTATACTAAAAAATAAGGATCTTACCAAGTCACCCTATGGAAATTTTTTTTAAGGGGGACAACCCATGATTTTGGTCAAAAATTGGAATTTTTTCCTATGCTTGCCTTTAAACAAAATAGGCCTTGAAATAATGTTTGCTGACCATCCGGTTAGAAAACAAGCCTACCTAGACTAAAAAAATAAGGATTTTACCAAGTTGCCCTATGGAGATTTTTTTTAAAGGGGTTAACCCATGACTCTGGTCAAAAATTAGAATTTTTTCCTATGCTTGCTTTTAAACAAAATAGGCCTTGAAATAATGTTTGCTGACCATCCAGTTAGAAAACAAGCCTACCTATACTAAAAAAGAAAGGATATTACCAAGTCGCCCTATGGAATTTTTTTTTATGGGGGACAACCTATGATTTTGGTCAAAAATTGGAATTTTTTCCTAGGCTTGCTTTTAAACAAAATAGGCCTTGAAATAATCTTTGCTGACCATCCAGTTAGAAAACAAGCCTACCTATACTAAAAAATAAGGATCTTACCAAGTCACCCTATGGAAATTTTTTTTAAGGGGGACAACCCATGATTTTGGTCAAAAATTGGAATTTTTTCCTATGCTTGCTTTTAAACAAAATAGGCCTTGAAATAATGTTTGCTGACCATCCAGTTAGAAAACAAGCCTACCTATACTAAAAAAGAAAGGATATTACCAAGTCGCCCTATGGAATTTTTTTTTATGGGGGACAACCTATGATTTTGGTCAAAAATTGGAATTTTTTCCTATGCTTGCTTTTAAACAAAATAGGCCTTGAAATAATCTTTGCTGACCATCCAGTTAGAAAACAAGCCTACCTATACTAAAAAATAAGGATCTTACCAAGTCACCCTATGGAAATTTTTTTTAAGGGGGACAACCCATGATTTTGGTCAAAAATTGGAATTTTTTCCTATGCTTGCCTTTAAACAAAATAGGCCTTGAAATAATGTTTGCTGACCATCCGGTTAGAAAACAAGCCTACCTAGACTAAAAAAATAAGGATTTTACCAAGTTGCCCTATGGAGATTTTTTTTAAAGGGGTTAACCCATGACTCTGGTCAAGAATTAGAATTTTTTCCTATGCTTGCTTTTAAACAAAATAGGCCTTGAAATAATGTTTCCTGACCTTCCGGTGAAAAAACAAGCCTACCTAGACTGAAAAATAAGGATTTTACCAAGTCGACCTATGGAGATTTTTTTTAAGGAGGACAACCCATGATTTTGGTGAAAAATTAAAATTTTTTCCTATGCTTGCTTTTAAACAAAATAGGCCTTGAAATAATGTTTGCTGACCATCCAGTTAGAAAACAAGCCTACCTATACTAAAAAAGAAAGGATATTACCAAGTCGCCCTATGGAATTTTTTTTTATGGGGGACAACCTATGATTTTGGTCAAAAATTGGAATTTTTTCCTATGCTTGCTTTTAAACAAAATAGGCCTTGAAATAATCTTTGCTGACCATCCAGTTACAAAACAAGCCTACCTATACTAAAAAATAAGGATCTTACCAAGTCGCCCTATGGAAATTTTTTTTAAGGGGGACAACCCATGATTTTGGTCAAAAATTGGAATTTTTTCCTATGCTTGCTTTAAAACAAAATACGCTGTGAAATAATGTTTGCTGACCATCCGGTTAGAAAACAAGCCTACCTAGACTGAAAAATAAGGATTTTACCAAGTCGCCCTATGGAGATTTTTTTTAAAGGGGTTAACCCATGATTCTGGTCAAAAATTAGAATTTGTTCCTATGCTCCCTTTTAAACAAAATAGGCCTTGAAATAATCTTTGCTGACCATCCAGTTAGAAAACAAGCCTACCTAGACTAAAAAAAACAGGATACTACCAAGTCGCCCTATGGAGATTTTTTCAAAGAGGTTAACCCATGATTTTGGTCAAAAACTGGAATTTTTTCCTATGCTTGCTTTTAAACAAAATAGGCCTTGAAATAATGTTTCCTGACCATCCGGTTAGAAAACAAGCCTACCTAGACTGAAAAATAAGGACTTTACCAAGTCGACCTATGGAGATTTTTTTTAAAGGGGTTAACCCATGACTCTGGTCAAAAATTAGAATTTTTTCCTTTGGTTCCTTTTAAACAAAATAGGCCCTGAAATAATGTTTCCTAACCTTCCGGTTAAAAAACAAGCCTACCTAGACTGAAAAATAAGGATTTACCAAGTCGCCCTATAGAGATTTTTTTAAAAGAGGGACAACCCATGATTCTGGTCAAAAATTAGAATTTGTTCCTTTGCTTCCTTTTAAACAAAATAGGCCTTGAAATAATGTTTCCTGACCTTCCGGTTAAAAAACAAGCCTACCTAGACTGAAAAATAAGGATTTACCAAGTCGCCCTATGCAGATTTTTTTTAAAGGGGTTAACCCATGATTCTGGTCAAATATTAGAATTTGTTCCTATGCTCCCTTTTAAACAAAATAGGCCTTCAAATAATCTTTGCTGACCATCCAGTTAGAAAAAAAGCCTAGCTAGACTAAAAAATAAGGATTTCAACAAGTCGCGCTATGAAGAATTTTTTTAAAGGTGTTAACCCATGACTCTGGTCAAAAATTAGAATTTTTTCCTTTGCTTCCTTTTAAACAAAATAGGCCTTGAAATAATCTTTGCTGACCATCCAGTTAGAAAACAAGCCTACCTAGACTAAAAAATAAGGATTTTACCAAGTCGCGCTATGGAGAATTTTTTTAAAGGGGTTAACCCATGATTTTGGTCAAAAATTGGAATTTTCCTCTTTGCTTGCTTTTAAACAAAATAGGCCTTGAAATAATGTTCCCTGACCATCCAGTTAGAAAACAAGCCTACCTAGACTAAAAAATAAGGATATTACCAAGTCCCCCTATGGAGATTTTTGCAAAGAGGTTAAACCATGATTCTGGTCAAAAATTAGGATTTTTTCCTTTGCTTGCTTTTAAACAAAATAGGCCTTGAAATAATGTTTGCTGAGCATCCGGATAGAAAACAAGCCTACCTAGACTGAAAAATAAGGATTTTACCAAGTCGACCTATGGAGATTTTTTTAAAGGGGTTAACCCATGACTCTGGTCAAAAATGGTAATTTTTTCCTATGCTTCCTTTTCAACAAAATAGGCCTTAAAATAATGTTTTCTGACCATCCAGTTAGAAAACAAGCCTACCTATACTAAAAAAAAATGGGGATTTTACCAAGTCGCCCTATGGAAATTTTTTTTAAGGGAGACAACCCATGATTTTGGTCAAAAAGTGGAATTTTTTTCCTACGCTTGCTTTTAAACAAAATAGGCCTTGAAATAATGTTTGCTGACCATCCAGTTAGAAAACAAGCCTACCTAGACTAAAAAATAAGGATCTTACCAAGTCGCCCTATGGAAATTTTTTTTAAGGGGGACAACCCATGATTTTGGTCAAAAATTGGAATTTTTTCCTATTCTTCCTTTTAAACAAAATAGGCCTTGAAATAATGTTTGCTGACCATCCGATTAGAAAACAAGCCTACCTAGACTGAAAAATAAGGATTTTACCAAGCCGCCCTATGGAGATTTTTTTAAACGGGTTAACCTTTGACTCTGGTCAAAAATTAGAATTTTTTCCTTTGCTTCCTTTGCTTCCTTTTAAACAAAATAGGCCTTGAAATAATGTTTCCTGACCTTCCGATTAGAAAACAAGCCTACCTAGACTGAAAAATAAGGATTTTACCAAGCCGCCCTATGGAGATTTTTTTAAAGGGGTTAACCTTTGACTCTGGTCAAAAATTAGAATTTTTTCCTTTGCTTCCTTTGCTTCCTTTTAAACAAAATAGGCCTTGAAATAATGTTTCCTGACCTTCCGGTTAAAAAACAAGTCTACCTAGACTGAAAAATAAGGATTTACCAAGTCGCCCTATGGAGATTTTTTTTAAAGGGGTTAACCCATGATTCTGGTCAAAAATTAGAATTTGTTCCTATGCTTTCTGTTAAACAAAATAGGCCTTGAAATAATGTTTCCGGACCATCCAGTTAGAAAACAAGCCTACCTAGACTAAAAAATAAGGATCTTACCAAGTCGCCCTATGGAAATTTTTTTTTAGGGGGACAACCCATGGTTTTGGTCAAAAATTGGAATTTTTTCCTATGCTTCCCTTTAAACAAAATAGGCCTTGAAATAATGTTTGCTGACCATCCGGTTAGAAAACAAGCCTACCTAGACTAAAAAAATAAGGATACTACCTATGGAAATTAGGATTTTTTCCTTTGCTTGCTTTTAAACAAAAAAGGCCTTGAAATAGTGTTTGCTGACCATCCGGTTACAAAACAAGCCTACCTAGACTGAAAAATGAGGATATTACCAAGTCGCCCTATGGAAATTTTTTTTAAGGGGGACAACCCATGATTTTGGTCAAAAATTGGAATTTTTTCCTATGCTTGCTTTTAAACAAAATAGGCCTTGAAATAATGTTTGCTGACCATCCGGTTAGAAAACAAGCCTACCTAGACTGAAAAATAAGCAACAATGACGTATGCGCATGTGTGCGTACAGTGCGGACACAACTTTTGTAGCTCTGTGAAAATTTGGCCAAAATGGCAAAAGGTGGTCAGTCTGACCAAATGAAATCACTGAAAAAAAGCAATGATAGTCTGAAGAAGCAATTAGAGAATGCACGAAAGGATATCAAGAGATTAGAAGAGAGAGTTGAGGTCCAAGAACATGCATCGAAGGAACATAATGGCGGACCTTCCCGCGAGGTGCAATTAGAGACCGAAAGAAGCTTAAGTTGGCTCCATGAGAGCGAAAGCGACATTCAAAGCGAGCTTAGAGCAATCCGTAAACGGCTTGATGATATTGAAGAAGGTCTCGGGGAACTGGAAGGAGCTGTTGAAGAGTTCCAGGATTATAGTTACTCTTTCAATATAAAGATTCTAGGAGTCCCCGAGCTTAGTGATCGAGAGAAGGCAGAAGATACAAGCAACCTTTGTGTTAACTTATTCAATAAGATGGGCGCTGAAGTTTCAATACGCGATATTGATATAGCCCATAGAGTGTCTTTTCGAGACACTTCTCGTACGGGGCCGAAGCCAATTGTTTGCAAGTTTATTCGCAGACTGGCAAGGAATGAAGTGATGTCGAAGAGGAAAGAGGGAAGATCTGTTGACCCGTCCACTATTGGTCTTCACGAGGGAACTGATATGTCTAATGTCCTTCTTTTGGACCACCTCACACCTC